TTGTCCTAAATCCTGACAGGATGGAGAACTGGAGAAGGAATTGAACCATGGCCAATACCCACTGGGGAATGCTTTCTCTCTCCCTTTTTTCTCTCTGGTAAGTGCATGTGCCTTTTGGCATTAAATGAAGGAAGGGAGAGAGGAAGGGCTGATGGGAGGAAGGAAGGAAAGAAAAAAAAAGAAAAAAAGAAAGAAAAATGAAGGAGTATTATACTCAGGAATAGTTAGAAAAATCATTTGTTAAATAAATCAGAATAGGCGTATTGCCTAAGTATTTAAAAAATTTATGTAATAATTTTTTTTCTTGAGAGGTTTTTGCTATAGGGTGTGTGTGCTTGATGGAGAGACAAAGAGAGAGAAAAAGAAAGTGAGAAATCCCCCCCCCCCCCGGAGAAATGCGCATGCTGCAATCACTTCTCCATTTTCTTCTTGGCATTTTGGGCATGCATGCACACATGCCCAGCCTGAGTTTCAAGTTGGGGCATCTGGGACTTGAACTACAATTGGCCAAGTGAGCACCCAGTGGCTTAACTACTACGCCACCTGCTGGCCCCCATATAACCATTTTTTCAAAACATTTTGATACATATATAATGCTATATAGGAAAAATCACACAGCTCAGTGAATTTTCACAGAGTGACATCTGTCTTAGCACCCCCTAATTAAAGACATGGAAGTTCTGAAGGGAGTGCTATACATAGGAAATTAAATACAGATGCAGAGAAATAAGAGTTCAAAAACAACTAAGAAAATGGCAGACTTAATGGTTGCGACTAGTCCAAAGTTGAATGTTATCTTCCAGAACTTAAATGGAAAGATCGGACCACAACAGGAGATAGATTAAGTACATGAGACTGAACTGGTGAAACAGAGTTTTATGACTTCTGACTAAAACATTACTGATTTTCTTCTATGTTTTGTTTTCCAGATTTGGGGATTTTTGCTTCTCTTGAGCTGCCAGTAGGTTCATGTACCTACTATTTGAACAGAATCCTAACATATTTCCTGACTTGGAGTCTTAAATAAAGTATTCTTAACATTTTTTTTATTTATTAAAGTCAGAACTAATTTTCTTTTCTTTCTTTTTTTATTTCATTTTTTTTATACATTCAATTACCTTTTTAGCTTACAAGGTAAATATTTCACTATGTGAACATTTCTCCCTAGTCCAGTTGGTTAAACTATAAAATATCTTCAACAGATAATACCACATTTCTTTGTCCCATTAATGTTTTGCCTCCCTATTTTTCTTCTAAATGTATTAAAGAATACCTATTTAATGACCACAGTAAGCTATATAGCCTCAGCCAGGTGCTACTTTGTAGTATATCCATTCTACCCACAGAGTTTCATTCTTAAAGTCAGACTTGCGGGGACCAGTAGTTAGCGTAATGGCTATGTTGCTGGACTCCCATGTAGTCAACTGCGGTTTGAGTCCCAGACCCGGTGGCTTAAACTCATGCCAGGCGTGTGTGCGTGTGTGCCCAAGATCCCGAGAGGAGAATGGAGGAGAAGGGATGGTGGTGTGGCCATCCCCCCTGAGGGATGATTTCTCGCTTTCTGTCTCTCTGTCTCTCTCTGTCTGTCTGGCGAGTGCATGCGCCCCATAGCAAAAACCTCTTAAAAAAAAAAAAGAAAAAAACATAATAAATGAATTGCACTGTGTTTTTTTAAAAATGACTCTTATTCTTTAAAAGCTCACAATTCACAAGGGGGAATTTAACACATAAAAGTGAATTATATTGCAAAATAATTATATGCTTAATTCACAAAATAATTATTATCATCTTAATACAATTTTTTACAAAGTGTAATGAGAGTTTATAAAAGGTATCAAGGTATCAGTTCTTTCTACAATGTTAGGTGAGGTTCCATGTGAATATTTGCAGCAAACTTTAAAAACTAAAAGGGTCTTCTAAACAGCAAAATGGAACTTATATCATAGGCATAAGGAACGCAATGGACTGAAACGCAAAGGCATCAAGATTAAGTGGTAAAATATGGTGAAAAATAAATTATCTGGTGTTGATGGATTATGGTGTATTTTTGTCATTGTAGGGGAATTCTGAAGTAGTCCAAGAGGTTTTTTTTTTAAATTATTTATTTAATGTTATTTATTTATTTTTAAATTTTTTTTCTATAATGTAACATACACTTACCAGAGAGAGAGAAAGAAAGAGAGTAAGCTACCAGATCCAGGACTTAAATCATGGTTGGTCATGTGGGAGTTTAGTGCCTCAACCGCCATGCCACCTTCTGGGCCTGCAAGAGTTTTTATACTTAAGAGTATACAGGAATTGTGGGAGAGCTCCTACATTTTCTCTTTGGACAATGGTAAAAATGAACCAAATGAGGCATAATGTTCTTTTGTGATCAGAAATTATTTTACTTTAGGCAAAGGGGAATCAGGAATGAGCAAAAAAACCCCTCTTACTACATGGATGGATGGGATTCTGATATTAGTCAGCATTGCTTTGTAAACCTCTAAAGGATGGAATTACATAAAAACATTTCTTTATGAGGGGAATGTGTCCTCACACATTCACAGAGAAATGGAACTTATTTCTTGGCTATTGATGTGCAAGGAGTGGTATCACCACACCCTACTGAGCTAATATCCTGACACAGTGCTGGTAGAAGTACTCATTGCTTCAATCATTTTTGTCTGGCCAATTAGCTGCAAATCTGCAGTCCTGGAAGCTACAGATCTATGAGGACTTGTTAGGGGCTTCCTAGGAGATGTGGAAATGACATTCAAATCCAGTGTGACCTAGAAACTGGCTGGGGCTTGATGAAGGAACCCAGGAAGGGGACTACTAAGATAGACCAATATTCCTACTTGACAGAGGGAAGTTATTTCAGGATGCAGGGACTGGAGTGCAGAAAGGTTATCAAAGAAATCTTAGGATTAGAACATTCACTTATGCATCTTAATTTTTTTTCAAATATTTTGACTTTTCTGTAGTCTATAGTCATTAAATTATGAGTAATTACTACTTGGGAACATCAACCATTGTTTAAAATTATAAGAGAAAGTGAAAAAGTTAGTTATTAATTACTTTTCAGGCCAGTATGTTAAACGAGATGGTAATTTATTATTGACATTGCCGATGGCAGCAACTAAAATTCAGTGAACAAATCTCAAGAGAACAAGAACGCTCAAGGGGAGAAAGTCAGGCTGTGTGTTTAGGTACTTTTCCCTGCCCTGGGTCTCTCCTTCAAAGACTCCTCTCTTTTCATACCTGGGAAGCTTACTGCTTCTTTCTAACACAGAGAGCTAGTCTGACACCAGGGCAGGAAAAGTTAGGAGACCATTTGTAAAAACAGGACTTCTTTCATTAGCTGCATCAAGTCAAGCTAATGGACAAGATCAATCCCCACGTAACTTTGTATTAACTCTCAGTATATGACTGTCCCTGGAATAATCTTT